AATCACTAGAGATATTTACCAAATGTAATTTCACCATACTCCCAATTCCCACTCATTGAAAACTAGACAAAATATCAAGCACTGAATATCTGAAGTTACAAGGAAAACGTCAATTTGCTCCTCCACACCAACATGGCAATGGAATATCGAACAGTAAGCAGGGCCCTTCGTAAGGGACAGAGCATTTCCTGTGAGACATGTTAAAGATCATTTGTGCATCCTTAAGAAAAGGAAATCACAGCTGTCAGGTTGAAATCTTCAGTCAGAAAACGCATGAATTGTTAAGTGGACTGTTCAGTTCTCCACAATGCTTCAACTTGCATTGAAGCAAATTTCCATCTAATTTGCTGACCATTCTTCCAGCCTCTCACAGCACAAGATTTTACAGCTTTAACCCCCAAGTTACCAAGGGTAACACAGATTTTCCCACTGGAAAATTATGAAATACATTTTAATACATTTTTACAAATTGTTATAATGGCTCGGGAAAGAAATCTTCAGTAAGGAGCAAAATAACCCAAGACTAATGCAATTCATATAACTGGCATATATAGAGAGTAATATGTGGTTTCACTCTAAACTAATCTGAACTGAGCTGGAACTTGTCTTATTTTCTTGTGTGTGTGTATATATATATATATATTTTCTACATACTACCAGTCAACTGAACAGTCAGTTTCTTTCTTTGATTTAAATGCATACACTAAAGAGAAAACTGAATGAGAAATAACTTGTTTATCAGAAATTCCTTACTCCCCTACTTTATGGGGTTCTTTTCCAGAGGGTTTAAGCAGTTCCAGAGCACTTTGCACTAAGAGCTCAGAAAAAGCTTTACGTAGATTCCTGCCTTGTAACCCAGTCACAACTCAAAGAACTGCTGATAAATATATTTTTAGCTCATCCCCTTCCCAGTGGTGCTGTAAGAGAGTTCTGTAACAAGTGCATGAGATTAATAAATCTGAAATCTGGCAGAATAATAATTCATTAAAATGTCTTGAAAACGTTTCACCTGCTGAGGCCTCTCTAAAAAAGCAGAAAACAGACAATTTAGCAGAAATCACTGCCTAAACAATACACTTAAATGTATCTAGAAAGTTAAATACACCTCACTAAGAGAAAAAGCAGATGAAATAGCCCTAAATACTGCAGCTTACTACAATAGCATGAAATGCTAGAATTCAAGATCCTCAGGGCAACAAGGAGAGTGCCCAGCAAGCTCGCCATCCTGGACTTAGAGAGCAGACTCTGACCTCTTCAGGTATCTGCTTAGCGCAGTACCATGCAATGAAGCCCTGAAGGGGACAGGAGCCCAAGAAATCTGCTCCGTATTCAACGTATTCAAGGAGCACCTCCTCTGTGCCCCGGAGCAATGCATTCCGAAAAAGAGGAAGGTCAGCAAGAATGTCAGGAGGGGAAACATCACCCCCACTTTCAAAAAGGGAAAACAGGAAGACCCAGGCAACTACAGGCCAGTCAGTCTCACCTCTGTGCCTGGCAAGATCATGGAGCAGATCCTTCTGAAGGCTCTGCTATGGCACATGGAAAATGTGGAGGTGATTGGTGGCAACCAACACGGCTTCACCAAGGGAAAATCCTGCCTGACAAATCTGGTGGCTTTTTGATGGAGTAACAGAATCAATTGACAAGGGAAGAGCAACTAATGTCATCCACCTGGACTTGTGCAAGGCCTTCGACACCGTCCCACACAACATCCTGGTCTCCAAGTTGGAAAGACATGGATTTGACAGATGGACCGCTCCATGGATAAGGAACTGGCTGGAAGATTGCACTCAAAGAGTTGCGGTCAATGGCTCAATGTCCAAGAGGAGACCAGTGACAAGTGGTGTCCCTCAGGGATCAACCTCATGAACTATTATGGCTGAAACTAGACAGATTATTTACATTATTTATTGATGTCATATTGATATCATTTTATGTCTTGAGATGCATTTACTTCACTGTAACAGTTTTCATGCTGGAATTTCAGTCACAGAATCACAGAATTATTGAGGCTGGAAAAGACCTCCGAGATCATCAAGTCCAGCCTATGACCCAACACCATCACATCGGCCAGACCACGGCACTAAGTGCCACATCCAGCCTCTCCATAAACACCTCCAGGGATGGTAACTCCACCACTTCCCTGGGCAGTCCATTCTGATAAACACCAAATAAAGTATTGTCTGATAAACACCAATTAATATGACAGAAAGCCACTGGGACAGAATGAATCCAACTGAAGTATTTCTACAAATTAAGGAACTGTTTTTCTTTCATTTTATTACGTTATATAATAATATAATTCTGTAACCTTAAGTATGTCTGATCTAAGATCCAAATTTGCACAAGTACAGGAAAACAACCAATGTATTTTGGCATACCTTCTACTTCTACTTACAACATTGCATGCCAAATGTATGGCTCTGCTTCTGACCATCTGTTCATTATTCCTCCCTTTTCTCCTCCCTCCTGCTCCTGATAGGATTTTTCTAAATATATGGAAGTGATGTGTACTTTGTTTTCCCATGGTTAGAGAATCTGAGTTCATGGAAAATCCCCCAGAGCCTTTTCTCCTTCAATTATAGGGATCAATCAATATGGTTTCTTTAGGGAAACTGTAATTACTTGCATTTCTGCTTCTCAAGACTTCACTGAGAAAAATCTATTTATATCACTCTCTAGAGATTTTGCGAGTTGATAACTGTATTGTTAAGGACAGATTATTTTATGAGTCTGTCTCATAACATAGGAATTCTTTAAACATCTTTTCCACCAGGAGGCTGAGGAACTGAAACAGAACATTCAAAGAAGAGATGTGAAAAGGCACAGGCACTTTGCTTTCATTGTGAAAGCCTAAACAACTTGAATTCTGGTATCTGTTCATATCACGGGAGAAGGCTGAGACCCAAAAGCTGAACTACAAACAAGTTCCCTACAGATATAAGCTTTCCTTTTAGAAAAACCTCCTAAAAAACATCAGTTTGAACATTGGTTAACAAGCAGGCACTGCATATGTGTGCCAGAGCACAAGCCTTTTTGCAGTATATTCTTCCCCTTTTGTTAGCTAGTAACCCAGGTACAACTCCTGCCACCATCCGAAACAACACTAACGGCACTTAAATGGACAGTGCATTCTACACTAAATAAAAGGGTACAGCAGATTGTATTATCATCTCTGCATTGAGTCAGCATTTTTCCTCTGGGAGTACAGAAATATCATTTAAGAATTTTTTCGGGTAATTGGTAAGCTCTTAAAGCAGAAAAGTCATCTTTGAAAGTTACAAAAATAACATGCAGCACATTGAACAGGTGAATGCCTGGCTGTGTAGCTCGAGCCATACTCAAAAGTTTTGGCTTCTATGATCATGGACGTACCTGTAAGAAGCAAGGTTTGTTGAGAGCTGATGGGATTCAACTGACCAAGTGGGGCAAGAGCCTCTGTGCCAACAAGCTTGCCAGACTTGGAAGTAGGGTTTTAATCCAGCCTCAGTGGTGGAAAGGGAATGCCAATGCATTAGGAACTAACAGGGACACACCTGTGAATGCTGCAAAGGAATCAGGGCTTGTTCCTCTGAAAAGGTGACACAGTCAACAGCCCAGCTGAAGTGCCTCTGTACCAGTGCACACGGCATGGTCAACCAGCAGGAGCTGGAAGCCACTGTGCAGCTAGAAAGCTATGCTCTAACTGACATCACTGAAACTTGGTGGGACGAATCATACGACTGGAGTACTGCAACCGATGGCTAGAAACTGATCAGAAAGGACAGGCAAGGAAGAAAGTGTGGGGGGATGTGCTTGCTCTCTATGTGATAAAAAGTGGATTGACTGCACAGAGCTCTATTTGAAAAACAGCAATGAGCAGGTGATAGCTTATGGGCGACAAATCAGAGGTCAAGCTAATAAAGGAAACCTCATGGTTGGTGTTTACTAATGGCTGCCCAATCAAGAGGATGCTGCCAAAGCATGCTCAGAGGCTCCGATCCTGCTGGAGGACTTCAGTAACCCTGAAATGATGTGTCTTTATTTGTATTTATGATGTAAGACTCTATAAGCCTATTTACTTCTCTGCTTTTAAACACACTTTCTCACCACAGCATTTGTTAGTTCAAAAACCTACAGAAAGATCTGAGTTGCAATAAAGACTATGTTTTGGGAACTCTTTGTTATTCTCTATTATTTCAAGTTCTTCTGTAGATGATGATTTTTGAGATCACAGCTTTTCAAAAAACTAAGCTAGTTACAATCTTTCTGCATTAGATTCAAGGACAAAAATAAAAGGTTTTACTCTTCTCAAATATTGCAGTGGTGTATTAACATCACTATCAATGTATTTTTAGGTTTGCAAGCCATCATCACCCCATAGCAGCACCTACTTATCGCTTTCCCAATTTGCATGTTCTAGACAGAGCCTCAGAAAGCTGAGAAAGTTGATATTTTGTAAATCTCTTCAAGTATTATGAAATATAGTCCCCCCCATGCCTCCAAGGAGAATTCAAGCACAGACAAAGTCTGAAACTAAGAAATATAGAATGGACCAAAAGCAACTCTTCCTTCTTATTTGCAGCAATTCTTTCACATATGCTCTATAGTATTTCTTACACACTCCACTTCTAGAGGATTGCTTTTTCCTCACACCTGCTCTCCCAAACGTTCCTTTTTCAACACTCCTTTCCCCATTAGTTCTGCAGAAAAACATTTCAGTTCCACAAAGAGTTATCTATTTTCCTAATGCATATAAGAATCCCAAGAATGAATATTTAGGTTGTTGATTCAAACCGGAAACAACAATAAAGAAAAAATTAGAACCAAAGGACTCTATAAATTGCTTTCTCTGAAGTCACAAACAGAATGTGAGACTTACATAATCTCAAATAGAGCCATGCCACAAAAATGCTAAAATAAAGCTTTGGAACACAGCAGTGTTCAAATGTCTCAGAGTTACTCAGATTAATTTGTTTCATATGTATTACACCTGCTTTTCTTCTGAAGTCACGCCTTACCTTTGCTTCCATACTGTTCTGGTGGCAGATCAAAAGGTACAGGAAAATACGTTGCTGAATCATTACTTTCCGAAAGCATTTTCCCTCTCACATGAAAGTAACCTTTGTCCAGTCCCTGTGAGGGAAGGGAAACACACGGAAGAAAGACTTATTAGTTCTAGGGGAAAAAGACAAGCCAAATACACAACAGATTCTTTCTTAGTGAGAGGTACTTTAATAAAATGTTTTGCTTCCTTCCAGTCTTAAGAATCAGCTTCTCTTATCACTACTATTTCTGGCTCTTTATGTTCACTGACTTGGCCCCACAGGTGGCTTACAACTGATAATACTCTGCCTTCTCCATCCCTTACGTATATACCAATCTATTTCCATGTTCACTAGGTAAACATGCTTGTGTGAGCAATTCTATCCAAACTGCCCACGATCTTTGCTAGTATTATATGGGCAACATATATCAATACAACAAGATGTTGCAGATGCATAAGTGCTTAAAGACATTGGAATAAAATTTTAATTATTAAATAAAATGTTAACATCTTTGGTGTTTAATATTTACCTGAGGGGAAAACCTTTAAAATTTTTCAATTTGCTGTTTAGTTAAATATTCAGTGTGTTTCATTAACTGAATTAAAATTCAACTTGCGATACAGAAACAAACCTACAAACCTGTGCTTTTCAGCTATCTTGGATAACACCATCCATGTAGGCTAAAAAATTAAATGAAGATTTGAAACTGCTTGCATAGGAGTTTCAAAGACTATAGCCATCTTACAATGACAGTGGACTGAAAACAAGGTTAAGGACTACAGAAAAAAAAAAAGAAGCTATAATGCAATAAAATACAAGGGCACATAGATTTAAAGCAAATCAAGTAACTTTGGCAGATGAAATTGTTTAGTCACCTCTCCAGAGAAACTGGATCCCAATCATCAGTTGTAATGAGTTATACAAAAGCTAAATCCCTAATACTGAGATTTCCAACAGTCTATTGTCAATGGAGTATAATTTTATTAGAATAGACTGAAAGTTTAAAGGCTATCAAGCTTTTATTATTTATTTCTAAGACATTACCGAACAATTGTATTGTTCTTTCCAAAATTATAGTATAGTTTGGGTTAGAAGGGACCTTTTAAAGGTCATCTAGTCCAAGCCCCCTGCAATAAGCAGGGACATCTTCAACTAAACTGGGTTGCTCGGAGCCCCATCCAACTTGACCTTGAATGTTTCAGAGCATCTGCCACCTCCTTGGGCAACCTGTTCCAGTGTTTCACCATCCTTGTCATACAAAAATTTCTTCCTTATATCTGGGTAGCGTGCAGCCCTAAATACTAATCATAAGGTAACACTTAAACCGCAAACTAAAATGGCTTGTACAAGTCTTGATTATGCCAAGTGCCTGTGAGTTTTTCTCTTGTATTCTACATGCAGCTCTGAGAGAGATGTGGAATGGGCAGAGAAGGCTTCTCTGCTGTATCACGAGCTGGTTCTTATTCCACAATGAACTTCATATGCGTGCCTGACCAACGGCACTGAAGTTACACGGCTGTTCGCTGGCACCATCCGAGACTGACACTTGTATAACCATTGGTACCAAAGCACATTAGAAAGAACACCACCTACTTAAGTCTCTACATACATACATAATAATCTCAGTTTAATTCAAATATCGAGGACTGTGCCACACGCATTCCACTCTGAAGTTCATAGCAGAGGGTGCTTTTCATGTAGCATGAAAGAAAAAAGGACCACATGCAGGACATTTTAAATTTAATTTTCTTTCTTGGTATCTGTTTTTTTTTCCAACCCAATAATGTTTTTATTTCTGCTTCATTTCTTCTACCCACTAGGCTCTGTGACTTCTTTAGTGCGTTTCTTTTCAGGCATTTTGCTTCCTTCCCTTGTTCTACATTTTTGTGTTCCTCTTCCTTGTTCTTCCTCAGTAGTCAGTAGTCATATTTTCCACGCCTCCAAGAGATTAATTTCTTCTCTGATGTTGTCCTCCAACCCTGCTGGCCTCCACTGGTTGATCCCAAAGTTGTTTTATTTGTCTGCAAGAATTTAACCTGTAGAGATCTTACATTCAGGGAATGCTAATCTAAGAAAAGATTTTCCTCAAAACACCCCAGAGTAAGAATCTAGGTTATGGAATACATTCTTTAACAAGGCTCTCTGAGGATACTCAGATGCTTTTAAAAATAACTCTCATGTGTCTATCTTCACACAGAAGATCACACAAAAATTGAAATAAGCCACACATTTTGTCTGTTTTGAGCATTTCCTGGACTTTGACAGCTCCCATTGCCATTTCCAAAAAACAAACCAGCAGGACTTTGCCTAAAAAAAAAATAATAAAAAAATCTGCCTGTCTTGTAAATTCTCCCTCAGCCATAATCTATTATTTCAGAATTCTTTCCTCTGCAGTTACATTTCCTTCTTTAACTGCTGCTCATGGCAATACATTTTGAAATGTTAGAGACACATTTTTCAGTTGAGAAAGCCTTTTTTTTTTTTTTGTACTTATAAAACTTCAGATGCTGTTGTGGCTTCTGTTATTGCCTTCACACCATACATTGTAGAAGTCGGTAGTGGGAGGGAAAATGGGAAAAGTAGAGCAGCTTTTAAAATTCTGCTTTCCAGCCTTTTTTGCCCCAAACACAGAAGGGAGATTGAAGACTATAAAAATAACATCGGACAAGATTGAGGTAAGAATTGCTGTCCCTATCTGAGTGGGAATTAACACTAAGAGCACTACAGCATTTTAATACTACTGAAGTAACTCCTCCAGGAGACAGCTGTCTATTCCACTGAATGATTCTGAGACTATTCTTTCCCATGCCAGTACATGGAAAAAAGGCCACTCTTCAGCAAAATGATTTAAAAGCTCACTAGTTTGGGCAGTAAAGGATTAAGGATGCATATAAACTTTACAGTGACAATGCTCCTCTCTGGCCAGAAGGATACACAATGAAATCGTTCCTCAACATTGAGGCACGTTTATTCATGTCTCTGGGTCTCTTTACCACTGGAGTTTGAAAACCTTTTAGCTGTTCTGTGAACACTAAAAGCAAGATTTAATATCCTAAAGCCCACATATAAAATCTTGGTTTACCTACATCGTATTTATTTCCCCACTCCCACTATTTCACATAGGATAGAAGACTTCAAGTGGAACTAGAGAAATAAAAGAAGAAAGTGGTACTACATTACTTTGGAAGCTAATGTTAGAAAGAGATTAATCAATTTGTTGTTGTCTAAGTTGAGCTAAGACTGAATGCATATGGTTCGGCAAAAATTCAAGCAGTTCAGTTCTGATGATAGTGCACACACACACACAAAAATAATTGACTGAATCTCTGATCGAGATTTAGCTCATACACCCATCCCCCCAGAGGCAACTATAAAAGAATATTTTACTGGTTACCAGTGAGCATTCACCCTCAAATATAGCATTTCAGACTCTGAAATATTATTGCCAGTTGTCTGTGACAACTAGATATAATTGTAGCATCTGATAGCACTAGGTAAGCAAACATGGGCAAGTTCTCAGTTTAACAGCAACTACTATATTTCTCTGAGTTTATATTTCTAGAAGCTGACTGGCTAGTATCATATTCTTCAACAGACCTTTTAGAAGATTTAATGTGGTTTTTTTAAAACCATTTTAAAAGCCAAGCTCAGTTTATCTTAGAACCTTATCAGAAATGGAAGCTGTGAGGAATAACTATGTTTAAAAAGCTTTCGATTAGACACATCCAAAAATTTTTGAACAAAATAATTACTGCATCATGCTTCCCAGAACTCCACGCTGTTAGGAGATGGGCTCATCTCAACATGTTTCACATGTTAAAAATGTAATTTATTTCAGCCTCTGGAAAGGAATCCCCAGCAACTGAAAAAGCAAGCTTAACATGAGTGAGAGTGAAGATGTAGGAGGTGAGAAAGAAATGGAGATAGAAAGAGAAATGCAGTTCAAATACAGGACACAATCTTTTTTTTTTTAAAAAGATTTTTTTAATCAAGAGAAGCTTGTGATCTAATGTCAGCATCAGATGATTTTTCCCTAAATACTAAAATTGTAAATGATGACAGCTGCTGCTATGTTGAGAACAACTATTCAACACATTTCTGAGAGTTTGCATTAGCACACCAGGCCAAGACCCAACCTCAAAGCTAAGTTCTGGAAGCATTTTAAAAACCAGATGAAAACTGGCAGTGAACAGATGGCAAGGGAGGAACAATCCACTCCAAAATTTGTATTTGGCAGAAAACAGAAGGCACGAACCACAGAGCTGGCGGAGTTCTTAGCGTTAGGACTCTGAAGCATGTGCAATGAATGACCACCAGGGTAGTGTGGCCGAGCGGTCTAAGGCGCTGGATTAAGGCTCCAGTCTCTTCGGAGGCGTGGGTTCGAATCCCACCGCTGCCAGGAGTGTTTTAACACTTGCACTCTATAATCTCCAACCGTATTTCTACGCTGAACGGGTCTAGGACTCTTCAGTCTTAACCTCCAGAGAGTACCGAGTATGTTGAGGCTTGGGTACGCCCAGGTACCTTTCACAGCACTTAATCTAGTCTGTGTTCCATACACTTCTAGTTGCAAACACACTTTAGAAATTTCTGTTTCTAAAAATATTAGTCTGTTCTCCACTCTCTTCACCTAAGATTACTCCACCACACAGTATGTTAAAACTACAGTGAGACAACAAAAGTGTTAACAACCAGACTAAGTTATCAAAGAAGCACTTTTTATGCTGTTAACTGCAGGGCACATACATTAAATAGATTCACAAGCGAAGCACCGCAGCCTGCTCATCAGATGACTGCATGTACCTATGGCAAGCATTAATACTCATCTCTGGCTGCCTCCTTGTTACCAGGTGTCTCTGCAGGCACTTTCCCAGGACAAACAGTTGCAGCCTCTCTCCCCTCTCCCCACTTTGCTTCCACACCCACCGTATCATGTCACTGCTGACAGGTGACTGCCAGTCTTCACAATTAAGTATCAATGTGCAGGAAACTACAAGGAAGAGAACTAAGTATTCTCTTCCAAAATATTGAAGGTTACATTCTTGCCAGTTTTAGATGAGCTTCAATCATGCTGTCTTCCAAGAGGTC